TAGGTCAGTACCTTCATGTATATTAAACTCCAATAGACCTTGACTCATGGGAATGACCTTGACCACGAAGTTTCAAATTATATCCTTTTTCACTAATTGTTGTATAATTGGCTGTAACTTAATGATTTATCAATGAATTATTTTCTTACTTGAACAAACAACCTTTTGAACGAAATCTTCTAAAAGGTTAAACTTACATTGAAATTTAACTTTCAATGACAAAGAATTGAATTTTTGTTAAGTTGTCATAATTTTGCTATAATCCCAGCACGATAAACAGAACTTTCGTCATGTTTATTAATAGTATGGAACAGTCTATTTTGAAGCTCATAATAAAGGTAAATGAAAGGGTTCCAGATTGATTAACCAATATATTGATAATAGTTATAGACAGTGGTAGGTTCAGTAATAGCTCAATCGGTAGAGCACCACAATCACAAAAAGTTTTATGACACAAGACTGACAAGCTCTTTTAGGTAAAATTTTTTATCGAGGTTTGTGTTTTTTGTTTCCAACCATTTATGAATAGTACATTTAAATTTGATTTACATATTTTTTGTTTTCGTTTTTCCTATGATTATTTTACTTTCAAGCGAAGTATCTTCAACTTTCTAGTATTTTTAGCTCGACTATTCGAAGAATATGAGAGCTATTGTAGTCGCCCCGGCGTCGGCGTCAGCGTCCGTGTCGGCGTCTGCGTTGGTTAAAGTTTTTTGTAAACTCAAATATCTCAATCATTACTTGAGATATTCAATTGAAACTTACAATACTTATTTATAGTAACAAGGTACATCAGATTGACAAGTTGGATAACTCTGCCTACAATATTGACAGAATTATGCCCCTTTTTAACTTAGAAATTTTGGTTAAAGTTTTTTGTAAAGTCAAATATCTCAATCATTACTTGAGATATTCAATTGAAACTTACAATACTTATTTATAGTAACAAGGTACATCAGATTGACAAGTTGGATAACTCTGCCTACAATATTGACAGAATTATGCCCCTTTTTAACTTAGAAATTTTGGTTAAAGTTTTTTTGTAAAGTCGAATATCTCAATTATTACTTGAGATATTCAATTGAAACTTACAATACTTATTTATAGTAACAAGGTACATCAGATTGACAAGTAAGATAACTCTGCTTCCAATATTGACAGAATTATGCCCCTTTTTAACTTAGAAATTTTGGTTCAAGTTTTTTTTTAAAAGTCAAATATCTCAATTATTGCTTGAGATATTCAATTGAAACTTACAATACTTATTTATAGTAACAAGGTACATCAGATTGACAAGTTGGATAACTCTGCCTACAATATTGACAGAATTATGCCTCTTTGGAACTTAGAAATTTTGGTTAAAGTTTTTTTGTAAAGTCAAATATCTCAATGATTGCTTGAGATATTCAATTGAAATTTAAAATACTTTTTTATAGTAACAATGTACATCACTTTGCAAAATTGCATAACTCTGCCTGCAAAATTTGAAGAATTATTTGCCCCTTTGAAACTTAGAAAATTTGGTTAAAGGTTAAAGGTCTTCAAAGATATTTACTTGAAACTTTACACATGCACTTAGATTCATAATTGGAGGGTCAAAATTGTATGTCACTAACCAAGTTCCATAACTCTATCTTGCATTTAGGCTGATTCATATCCCCTTTTCTACTTAGTCTCTTGGTTAATGTTTGCATGCAAGTTTTACATATCTCAATAACTATTAAAGATATTTATTTAAAACTTCACATATGCATTTAGGGTCATAATTGTAGGTCACTGACAAAGATCCATAATTCTATCTTGCATTTAGGCTGATTTTTCACCCCTTTTTCAACTTAGAAATTCATAGTAAAGTTTTGCTTGTAAGCTGTTATCTCAATTACTACTGAAGGGTTTGTGCCTTTTTTTTGGGACAATTTTATGCATTCATAATAATAAAGCAGTGATTTACTTGATAAAACATCTTAATTAGAAGCCTTTGTACCCTTTCTGGCAAATTTATGTATTCATAGGTAATTACTGATTAGTATTATTATACTCAATAAAACAACCTTGTGACATTACCTTCCGAATAGTCAAGCCAATACTGTATAATTAGACTCTCTCTAAGGCCTATAACATGAATTTATTAAAAAAAAAATTAGACCTTTTGTGATCTTAAAAAATCCAACATTATCAAGGCTCTTTTACTATCAAGCACTTAGAATAGTCGAGCGTGCTGTCCTACCGACAGCTCTTGTTTTCTTAAGGAATGTATTTCAAGATATGCAATAGATACAACATTTCACTTTCATCTGCCGTATCTATTGTTTCTCCGGTTTCTCTGTGTCGGTGTCATCGTTACTGACTCCGCAGGCATCTGCAGTTCTGTCGTATGGCGCAGTAAGCGGAATCGTCAGCTCTCCCCCATCTTTCTCTCGCCGAAAATAATTTTAAAAAAACGTTTTCTATAATTTGTCGGGGCTCAAAATTTTTCAACATGTCTGAATAGTATTCAAGTAAAGACAATAACGAAACTTTTGTTAAGTTATATACATGTATATGTGAAATATTTTCTGCATGGGATATTCGGGTTCTTTGATTTGACTTGTATTAAGCTGCGTCATTTTGTCTTTGTGTTATTACGGATATATATTTATTTGTGTACATTGTCAAACTGATATTAATGTGTTTTACAGCGAAGCTGGAATAAAAAAAGAAAAAAGTTCCACGAGGTTTCGAACCCACAAGTAATTTCATTTGCAGAGGTTGCTCAACTTACTACGCTATAGAGTCATTCGAAGTTATATTGTCTTCAAATACTTTCTCTGTATCTTTAATGGAAATACATTGGTTAATCACCAGTAGTTAACCTATGTTTATCTTTTCATGGACTCACAGTGCTTCTGTTTTTAGACATGACGTGTTCTGTTTATCGTGCTCGGACTATATTTATGTATAGATTTGTTTCATGCGTAAACAAAACAACACTTGTGACCAAACAAACATATGGAATATTTAAGATATGACAGTGACCTAAAAAATGACCTTGACCATCAATTGATTAAATTTTGATTAAATTTTTCTTAACTTTGTCATTTTTTTCCCTTTAAATCAGTTTTAAAGATTTTTATAAACCTTTGATTTGTTTGCTTTTTGAAAAAGTCACGGATGTAATATAAATCCGTGGAAAAAGTAAACAAGTCAAGTGTTTTCCCGACTTAAACAGGAGGGTTTTTGCCCGGGAGGGCTATTTTCCAACACTCCTTACATGTACAAATGTATATAAGATAACCTGCGTTCTCTTTGAGGACTCAATTATGGCTTCTTTTATGAAGGAGTTGCATGCTTAGGGTGATGTCATTCAGCAGTTTTGAGAAAGCTATAAATTGAAACATAGCAAAAATTTTTAAATTAGCATGTTCATTTATTATTATACCCCCGCACAATAAAGTTGTAAGGGGGGTTTACTGGAATCAGCTTGTCCGTCCGGCCGTCCCTCGGTTTTTTCTTGTCTGCCCAATAACTTAAGATGTCTTTGACCCTTAGTCTTCATATTTGGCATGGAGGTTAGTCATGATTAGTAGATGACCCCTATTGATTTTGAGGTCACTAGGTCAAGGTCACAGTGGCCTTGGCTTCAAAAAGCTTGTCCGCCCAATAACTTAAGATTCCTTTGACCTACAGTCGTCATATTTGGCATGGGGGTTAGTCATGATAAGTAGATGACCCCTATTGATTTTGAGGTCACCAGGTCAAAGGTCAAGGTCACAGGGGCCTTGACTTCAAAAAGCTTGTCCGCCCAATAACCTAAGATTCCTATGACCCATAGTCTTCATATTTGGCATGGAGGTTAGTCATGATTAGTAAATGACCCCTATTGATTTTCACAGGTCATCAGGTCAAAGGTCAAGGTCACATGGGCCTTGACTTCAAAAAGCTTGTCCGCCCAATAACTTAAGATTCCTTTGACCCATAGTCTTCATATTTGGCATGGAGGTTAGTCATGATTTGTAGATGACCCCTTTTAATTTTGAGGTCATCAGGTAAAAGGTCAAGGTCACAGGGGCCTTGACTTCTAAAAGCTTATCCGCCCAATAACTTAAGATTCCTTTGACCCATAGTCTTCATATTTGGCATTGAGGTTAGTCATGATTAGTAGATGACCCCTATTGACTTTGAGGTCACCAGGTCAAAGGTCACAGGGGCCTTGACTTCAAAAAGCTTGTCTGCCAAATAACTTAAGATTCCTTTGACCCACAGTCTTCATATTTGGCATGGAGGTTAGTCATGATTAGTAGATGACCCCTATTGAATTTGAGGTCACCAGGTCAAAGGTCAAGGTCACAGGGGCCTTGACTTCATAAAGCTTGTCCGCCCTATAACTTAAGATTCCTTTGACCCACAGTCTTCATGTTTGGCATGGAGGTTAGTCATGATTAGTAGGTGACCCTATTGATTTTGAGGTCAAAGGTCAAGGTCACAGGGGCTTTGACTTCAAAAAGTTTGTCTGCTCAATAACTTAAGATTCCTTTGACCCACAGTCTTCATATTTGGCATGGATGTTGATCATGACTATAAGGTGACCCCTATTGACTTTGAGGTCACTGGGTCAAAGGTCAAGGTCACAGGGACCTTGACAAAAAAAGCTTTTCTTCTCAATTGCTTAAGAATGTCCTGTCCGCAATGTATTGATTTTGACATTTTCACATTTGAAGCTTGTAGAATACATAACTTAGCAATGCACTGGCTTAGTAACCTCAGATTTGGCAGGGATGTTGTCCTTGAGCTCTAAATGGCCACTGTTGATTCTGACAAAGTGGTATGCGGGGGTATTCACGCCAAAATAGTGGCAGTTTTAGTTTAATAACTCTAACGATTTAAATTAACAGTTCCATATACATTTCTTAGTAAGATAAACATCCTCATATCTGAACATTGTACCATGAAAGCAACTTTAAGACTCTGTGTGTCTGAAGAAATTTAAAATGTTAAAATTAGTAAATACAAGGTGAATTTAACAAGTGAATTATGTGATGATTTCTTTAATTACAGGTCTAACTTCCAGCAAGGAAATAAAAGCTGACAAGATGTACAGTAAAGACACACTTTGTGAGAAGTTAATATAACCTGATTTGCAAAAATGTGGTGTTCAAAAAAAAAAGATGCTCAGCCTCTGTAAAATGACCCATAGATGTTATATACATGTATGTGATAAAACATTTACTCAACAAAGTTCCCTGAAAACACATGAAAATTCATACTGGTGAGAAGAATTATGTATGTAAAATATGTGATAAAGACATCTGACAGTTCATACTGGCGAGAAAGATCATGTATGTAAAATTTGTGATAAAGCATTTTCTCAACAACAATATCTTACAATACATATGGCAACACATACTGGCGAGAAGAATCATATATGTAACATATGTGATAAAGCATTTTCTTAAGGAGCTCATTTAAACAAGCAAATGACAATACATACTGGCGAGAAAGATCGTGTATGTAAAATTTGTTATAAAGCATTTTCTCAACAACAGTATCTTACAATACATATGGCAACACATACTGGCGAGAAGAATCATATATGTAACATATGTGATGAAGCATTTTCTCAACAAGCTTCTTTGAACAAGCATATGACAATACATACTGGCGAGAAAATACATACATTTAAATGTAAATTATGTGATAAAGAATTTTCTTATAAAAGTAGTTTGATTAGACATATGACAATACACACTAGTGAGAAGAATCATAAATGTGGAATATGTGACGAATCATTTTTTCAACGAGGTGATTTGATCAGACATATGACAAGACACACTGGCCCGAAGAATCATAAATGTGGAATATGTGACAAAACATTTTCTCAACGAGGTAGTTTGATCAGACATATGACAATACATACTGGTGAGAAGAATCATATATGTAACATATGTGATAAAGCATTTTCTCAAAGAGCTTCTTTGAACACGCATATGACAATACATACTGGCGAGAAAATACATACATTTAAATGTAAATTATGTTATAAAGCATTTTCTTATCAAAGTAGTTTGATCAGACATATGACAATACATACTGGTGAGAAGAATCATATATGTAACATATGTGATAAAGCATTTTCTCAACGAGGTTATTTGAACAAGCATATGACAATACATAATAGCGAGAAAAATCATGTATGTAAAATTTGTGATAAAGCATTTTCTCAAAAACGATATCTTACAATACATATGACAATACATACTGGCGAGAATATACATACATTTAAATGTAAATCATGTGATAAAGCATTTTCTTATCAAAGTAGTTTGATTAGACATATGACAATACACACTAGCGAGAAGAATCATAAATGTGGAATATGTGACAAATCATTTTTTCAACGAGGTGATTTGATCTCACATATGACAACACATACTGGCGAGAAGAATCATAAATGTAAAATATGTGTTAAGGCATTTTCTCAACTAGGTACTTTGAACAGGCATATGACAATACACACTGGCGAGAAGAATCATAAATGTGGAATATGTGACAAATCATTTTTTCAATAAGGTAATTTGATCACACATATGACAATACGCACTGGCTAGAAGAATCATTAATGTGGAATATGTGACAAAAGTCACAAAACATTTTCTCAACGAGGTGCTTTGATCAGACATATGGCAACACATACTGGCGAGAAGAATTATTTATGTTACATTTGTGATAAAGCATTTTCTCAACGAGCTTCTTTGAACAAGCATATGACAATACATACTGGCGAGAAAATACATACATTTAAATGTAAATTATGTTATAAAGCATTTTCTTATCAAAGTAGTTTGATCAGACATATGACAATACATACTGGTGAGAAGAATCATATATGTAACATATGTGATAAAGCATTTTCTCAACGAGGTCATTTGAACAAGCATATGACAATACATACTGGCGAGAAAAATCATGTATGTAAAATTTGTGATAAAGCATTTTCTCAAAAACGATATCTTACAATACATATGACAATACATACTGGCGAGAAAATACATACATTTAAATGTAGATTATGTGATAAAGCATTTTCTTATCAAAGTAGTTTGATTAGACATATGACAATACACACTAGCGAGAAGAATCATAAATGTGGAATATGTGACAAATCATTTTTTCAACGAGGTGATTTGATCACACATGTATATGACAACACGTACTGGCGATTAGAATCATATATGTTACATATGTGATAAAGCATTTTCTCAACGAGGTTAATTACTTTTCGTTAGTCAATTTTTCACAGAGTTCTCCAAGAAAGTTTGCACTTCAATGATTACAGTCAGTCACGGATTTATATTATTATATTGTGTAATATAAATCCATGAGTCAGTTCATAAAAACGATTGTTACATGTGTCAGTTTGGAAATGAAATATTGGCCGAGCTTAGATAATATCCCGGCTACTTGTGTTATTATACATGGACTTGTATAAAACTATAAGGTATAAATTTTCATTCTCATACTTAAGAATGTTATTACAATTAAAAAAGAGACTATATAAAACACAAGCGACTGTTCTGTGCCATTGCTGTTCATGTATAAACCATCCAAGACCAAAGTATTTAAATAGGAATCATCCCACAGTTATTTGCCTTTCGTTGGCCACAATCATGAAGTAAATCCGCATAAAAGAGTTCCTGTGTTTAATGCCAAATATTAATGAAAAATAGAACGAGTGAGATTGGAAAAGGACATTTTCTGACAGAGTTCATTACAAATAGCTGGTAAATGTTCATATAAGTAACACGTGATATCGTGAAAATGTTTTAACCTAATATGAAGTGAATTTAGATCTGGTCCTGCAGATAATATTTTGTTTTTACACTTAATATTAATTTTAGTTTATGGTAAATATATCGTCCAAAAATGAATAAACTTTGTTTGTCATTCCTGTGTTTCTCATACAACATGCTTTACTCACACTTATATCATAAGCCACTTGGTTTTGGGATTAAAAAAAGTTTTCAAACCCTTTTTGAGAGGATTATAGAACTCATATTCAATTGAATATAACGTTTTTTTAACATTGAAGTATTCTAAAACCATCATTTTTCCTATCTACCAAAATGGAAAAATGACGTTTTTGTGTCGCCTCTATGGAGTAGTGGCGACATATAGGGATCACTTCTCCGTCGTCTGTCTGCCCGTCCGTCACAACACTTGTCCGGACTACTTCTCATAAACTACTGGTACAATTTCATCCAAACTTTACAGGAATTATCAGTACCAAGTCTAGTTGTGCATATTGTTATGTATGCAACATATTACATGTATATAGTTTGTATCTGACCAGTTGGTATTTCCAATATTATCATTGTTTATTTTTAGAACATAAACTACATGTATGTACTAGAACGTTTTTAACTGTTGTAGAAAACTCATGCATTATATTTAGATAGAAATTACTGGAATGATCTTTATTGGTGAAGTTGCTAGATTATGATTACTGTAGTAAATGGAAGACTATTCTAGAAACTTCTTAGTTAATATATATAAGGAGACATTTTTCATTACTTTTACCTTTTTAGTCATCAGTAATCTTTTAAGTCATCAATATATTTGGAGTATTATTCAACTTGGAAATTCAGTGATTTATTGGAGCTTGGATTTTAAAATAAATTATTCTTGTGGATTTTATTGTGGGAATTTATTCTAAAGTGTTCTTGGATTTAACTTGGATTTAACTGTGCTATTTAAAAAGGATCATTCCAGGATCAGACTAGACATTTGTAATTTTCATTTTTATTTGGACTTCAGGTATTTGTAAACATGATTTGTTATTTTGATTTTTCTTTAATAATTTTTCTGTAATAAATCTGTTATTGTTACAAGTTTGTTGCTGGCTTTTCTTTCTCGTTACGCCTGGCTCGTAACAGAAATTGGGGGCTCGTCCGGGATTGAATATTTCATTTTGGCTACATTATTGGCAATTATTACCGTTTATTTTACATTTTATTATTAGCGTATTTACTCACCTTAGTTGATATTATAGTTGTTCTATTAAGTGTGCTTTTCAATTCTGAATAAAAAAAATAAACCAAAAAAAAACAAAAAAAACACCACATTTAAGTTTAAAACCAGCAGCAAGCAGTCATGTCTTTTGATTTAGAAAAGTTTGTAGCTGAACCTTCCCAGGAGGTATTAGATTTGGCTAAGAAAAATGATTTGCTTGATCTTGCAAAAAGTATAATTTATCAGAAATTAAATCTTCAATGCGTAAACAAGAAATTAAAAATCTTCTGATTCATTATTTTGTGGATGAAGATATTTTGGACAAGATGCACTTTCTCTGATTGTTGAAACAAACCCAGAAATTAAGATAAAAGAGCTTGAACTTCAATTTAAATTTGAACTAGAAAAAATGCAATTAGAAAAAAGAAAGGGAAGAAAGGCAGTTACAGTTAGAAAAAGAAAGGGAAGAAAGGCAGTTACAGTTAGAAAAAGAAAGGGAAGAAAGACAGTTAGAAAAAGAAAGGGAAGAAAGACTGTTAGAAAAAGAAAGGGAAGAAAAAGAAAGGGAAAGGCAGTTTGAAAAAGAAAGAGAAGAGAGAGAATTTCAGTTAAAAATGAGAGAATTAGAAATCAAAGAGAGAGCAAATCAGTTTGAACATAGAATAAATTCAAAATTTGATGTCAAAGGAGGCTTGTTACACCTTTCCGAGAAAAAGAAATTGATAAGTATTTTCTTCATTTTGAAAAGGTTGCTGAAAATTTAAAATGGCCAATAGAGCACTGGACATTACTTTTACAGAGCGTCTTAACTGGTAAAGCTCGTGAAATCTATACACAACTTACTGTTGAACAAAGCTCTAATTATGATAATGTAAAAGAATTAAATTCTGAAAGGTTATGAGTTAGTACTAGAGGCCTACAGGCAAAAATTCAGATAATTCTAAGAAAGAAACTGGTCAAACCCATGTCTAATTTGCAAGAGAAAAAGAACAACTTTTTGATCGGTGGTGTCTATCTAAGAAAATAAATAAAAACCATGAAAAGCTCAGACAGCTCATGTTAGTTGAAGAGTTTTAAAACGTTGTATTCACTCTGATGTTAAATCTTTCTTAGATGAAAAACAGGTAGAAACTTTAGAAGAAGCTGCCCGTCTAGCTGATGAGTATTCTTTAACCAACACAGTCTCACTTCTAAGTAAAGGGAAGTCCACACCTTCACATTTTAATTCCAAGTTCAGTTCTGGTAATATATCTGGCTTATCTAGTCAGTCAAATACTCACAAACCAAAGTCATCTGATGAGAGTCCCTTGTCTCGTCCTACATGCAATTATTGCAAGAAAACTGGACATCTTATTTCTGATTGCTTTACCTGTAAAAAGGAGGCAACAGCAACGTGATGAGCAAGCCCACAGGTCTTACCACTTCAAGTCTGAACCTCAGTCTTGTATTGATAACAATGCAATTTTGAAGGTCAAGGAACCCAAGTTCTGATTCTATAATGGAGATTTATGAACCATTTCCTTTCGGAAGGTTCCGTGTCACTTATTGGTGATACTGCCCACCTACTCCTATTACAATTTTAAAGAGATACAGGAGCTTCTCAATCTCTTATTTTAGCAGATACACTGCCTTTTTCTGAAAAGACTTCTTCTGGATCTAGTGTCCATTATTCAGGGTGTAGAGTGGTGGGTTTTTCTAATGTCCAAATTCACCTCTACCATAATATTTATTTGCCCTGTCAAGATTTGGTAACTGGTGCTGGTGGCTGTAGTATAAGATCTTTCTTACCCTTTAAAGGTGTTCATTTATTGCTCGGTAATGACTTAGCTGGAGATAATAGTGGTTAATCCACTTGAACTGACACTCCTTTGTGGATCAGATACCTGACCCCATTGAGCAGGAAATTCCTGACCTTTATCCTTCGTGTGCAGTTACTCGAGCTATGGCTAAGAAGGCCATTCAAAAGAAGATAATTATTGTTCAGATATTGACTTAGCTATAACTTTTATAGGTCAGTCTTGATAATGAATGAATTTTCTCTTACTCCTACTCTGCCTGAAACCTCAGACAGATTTTTCAATATCTGATTTTTCTACACCAAGAGTCTAAAGATCAAGGTCATGATACGATGTCAAGGTCACAGCTTATCCAGGAACAACAAATGATCCTGAGATTTCTGTCCTTTTTCAAAAGGCTTTTAGTGAAGATGAAGCTTTACAAGTCCCTGTCTTGTTTATTATGAAAAGAATGGGATTTTAATGAGAATAAATGGCGACCGCCCAAATGTCCCTGCTGAAGAGGAGTGGACTGTTAATCACCAAATTGTGGTCCCTAAATCATATCGCGCAGGAAATATTAAGCTTGGCTCATGAAACACCCATGGCAGGTCATTTAGGTGTTAATAAAACCTACCATAAAATTCTCAGTCATTTTTATTGGCCTGGCCTTAAAGCAGATGTATCTAGGTACTGTAAATCTTGTCATACTTGTCAGATGGTTGGAAAAACCTAACCAGACAAAAACCTAAAGCTCATTTACAGCCTATTCCTGCATTTGATGAACCTTTAGTAGAGTTATTATTGACTTGTGTAGGTCCATTACCAAAAACTAAATCAGGTTCTCAGTACTTATTTACTATTATGTGTGCTTCTACACGCTTCCCTGAAGCTATTCCTTTAAGGAAATATTAAAGCCAAAAACTATTGTCAAGGCTCTTTGTGAAATTTTTCACTTTTGTTGGTTATACCTAAATCAAAACAGTCTGATCAAGGGTTCAAAACTTTATGTCAGGTATTTTCCAGCAGGTCATGCATGAGTTAGGAATCACTCTAATAATAGGTTTACATGCCTATCACCCAAAAGTCAAGTTACATTAGAAAGATTTCACCAGACTCTGAATTAAATATGATAAGGTCAATATTGTTTTAGACACTTGAAAAAGACTGGATGAAGCATCCATTTAGTTATTTGTCGTTAAGAAATCTTTTCAGGAATCTTCTTGGCTTCATTCCTTTTGAATTAGTATTTGGTCACACTGTCGAACCCTTAAAAACTTCTAAAAAGAAATTCCTGTCTGGAAGATGACATAATCTTTTTAAATTTGCTTCAGTATGTATCAGACTTTTTCGAAATAGGTGTGGACTAATGCATGAAGTTAGCTGCTCAATTTAAAATCAACAAAAAAGTAAAATGAAATCAAGGTAATGATGAGAATGCCCAGGAAAAAAGTTTTAAACCCTGATAGAGTACTTGCTCTTTTATCCTATACCTGGAAAACCATGTACAGCAAAGATACTTTGGTCCTTTACTATTGAGAAGGAAATCAGTGACCTTAATATATATTATTAATACTCCTGGGAGGCGAAAGCAAAAACAAATGTGTCACATAAATAATGTTAAGAATGATATTTGACAGACGATAGTCAAAATTAGTAAACCTATATCTATTTGTAAACTCTGTTTCCACAAAAATCAATGTTCAGTGGAATCTTAAATAGGTGTGAAAAATTTTGAAAAGTCTGATCCTGGTTCAGCAAACTTTGAAAAACTCTGATATCTCTGAATAATGTGGATAAAAACTTGCTCATTTAAGAACTGTCGAAAACGAGATGAACTGAACACAGCTTTATTTATGAAATATGAACACTTATTTCCTGATATTCCGCACACGGACTATTATAAATATCATCATGACGTCATTCTTGAAAACTCTGAACCAATAAAACAACACTCCATATATTAACGAATTCTGTAAATACAAAAAATACCTGAAGAGCAAGAAGCTTCAGTATTTATTGGATAAACTTGACTTTATTGGAACCAAGTCAAAAGCAGTTTACAAGCTCTCCATGTATTCTGCGTACCGAATCAATATTGGAACTATATAGAATGTGTAAATATTCGTAAGAAACTCTAAACAAAAA